ATGTAAACCTAATAGGGTAAAAAGCCTTGAACAAAATTTAAAAATCTAAAAAGGCCTGATGAGAAAAATGAGCTTCTACCACGTTATGTTATAGAAATTTTCATATTTATCAATTGCTACTTTCTTATATGTAGGAAGATTATCAATTCCAGTTTTTCCTTCAAGAATAAAAATGTTATTCTACATGTCAAGCGAAGGTACAAATTCACTACTGAGGTAAATGATACACCTTTTGATTTGTGCTTATTTGAATACATGAAATAAGAGACTATTTTTCATTGATGTCCATCTTATGTCTTTACTATTTTTTTTAATTTTTTTTGTTGCATGGGCTATAATATCTACTGTTAATCATGTGAATTCTAATACCTGAAACTTAGAATATAACTCTATGCAAACTATACTTGATCAAGTCTTTACCATAGCAATCCCAATTATTCTAGATCAGTTGTCAAATGTAGGCTGCATTATTTATGCTGTGGGTTCTCTCTTCACTTCCTTTCCCTTCCTTCTACCCATCACTAGTAACATTCTTAATTATTTGTCATAATACATTCTTCAATCCTTTAACATGTGACAAAGACATATGTAATTACATACCATTTTTAATATGGATTACGCTTTTATACATGCAATGACAACACATCCACATGTAATTTACACACATGGACTGATGGATATAAGTTCTTGAATGAGCATATCTGGGCATGTGAGTAGCGTAGTCACTATTAAAGATATTGGAGTTACCACCAAAGTTTTTAGTTATTGTTTATATGTAGAATTTCCATAATCCATCTGACTTTTTCGTTGAGCACTTAATTTCTATATGCATCTCACATTCTTTTCTTATCTTTTTCTTTTAGGCATTTACATGTCATCATTTATTATGAGTAGAGGTGATGAAGATGAAATTCATGTTTTTCATCAAATGAATGAGGTATTTTAGGTTGTGTCCTGATTGTATTTTATTTTTATTTCTTTTCATTATTTTGAATATTCGAGACAAAATTTCTTTATGACATATATGGAATAATACCTGACAAATTGTGTTCTATTATAGTCTTGTAAAATTTTCATTCCACTTTCAATAATGTGGTGTAAACTATAAATACAATAGGACTTTTGTTCTTTATATTTTTGTAATTAGATTTAAAAATAATTTTATAAAATATTATTATATTTTTTTATAAATGAAATGGAATGTTTTATTTGTTTATTTCTTTTATTTATGTATATTTTAGTATTAATATAATTACTTTAAAAATAAAATTTAAAATATAATAAAATGATAAAATAATTATAAAATAATAGTTAAATATGATTTAAAAATATTATTATCAACAAATTTACTGACAGAAAAAAATATTTACGAACGAATTTATAGATGAAAAATTCCATAGTAAAACCGTTACTAATAAATTCGTCGATAATTACTAATAGATTTTTCATCGGTAATTATCGACAGATTTGAGGCATTACAAATAAAATAACATTACTGACATAGTTAGCACCGATGAAATTTTTTCTTTGCTAAAACCGTTGTTACTACTATTATCAACAGATTTTAAGCTTTCATCAATAAAACTTAAATTTTTAATAGTAAAAAAAAGTGTATTTACCTAATAGAAAATACACTTATTCTATTTAATTTAAAAAATTCTCTTATTTTTTCGAGGTTTGGTAAAAATACACTAACTTGAGGAGTTATTTGCTAAGTTAATTTTAAAGAGAAAAATAAATATACCTTTTTCTTAACTATTAATCATTTGTTTTCTATTTAGTTTTTTTTTTTTTTTATTCTTTATTTTACTAAAAATATTTTTAACTACAACAAAGCTTAATGGTAAAAAAAGTTCTTAAACAAAAATTCAAAAAGTATTTGAGTCCTTAATGTTTCATTGCAATCAATTAATCCCTTAGTTTTCAATTTTGCATCAATTGAGCCTTAATTTGAAAGGAAATTGTTAGTGTCGTTAAATACATGTATACATGGAAATTTTTTACAAGTGGAATTTTTTTACACGTGGCATACCAAGTGGCAAATGAAAAAATGGGGGGATTTTCCTCCCTTTTTATTATCCGTGTAAAGAATTGTGAATGGTCGAAAAAAAATAACGAATAAAACAAGAAAATTAATAAAATTAATAATTACCAGTAAAACCAAAAAAAGAGTTGATATTTATGCGCATCTTGTACTTTTGTTTTCCTTTCATCTTGGCATTACATTTTCCATATTTAACTAATCAACATCTTTCTCTATTAGAATTTTCATCTTTATTCCAGGATCTAGGGTTAAAAATTTTCAATTGTTGTCGTTGTCGTGCTCATCATCTGTTTTTTGTTGAAGTAATATGCATACACTTATGGAGTGGGAGTATGATGGAGAACTAGTGTTTTGTCACTTCGACGAAAATGCTTAAGGCGGACAACATGGAAAAAAATGAATATTGACAAAAAGTTTTACAGTTGTCCTAATTACAAGGTTGCTGATTTTGGGGTTTTTAGGTGGCACTATAAACAACTAGTAGAAAGGGCCAAATTTTAGATATGTGAGCTGAAAAAGATTAATGATGAGTTAAGAAGAATGGGTTAGGGTTGAAAATTGAAAGTAATGAACAAAACTCGATTGAAAATATGAACTTAGAAATGAAATTAGTGAGAAAGAAGATGAATTTGATAATGAAAAATGCAAATCAATTGAGGTGGAAAAAATATGTTTCTTATTAGAATTTTAATTTCCTGGGTTATTTCTTTCTTAGCTTTTGCAAATTAGGTTAGATTTAAATTAAGCTATGAATTTGTCTTAAAAGAAAAAAGTTTAGGGTATCTTTGAATATGAATTTGTAACACTCTTTTTGAAAATGAAAAATGAAATTCTTTTTATGAAATACTGATTTATTATGAATTTTTTGTCGATAAGTTATTGCGTATCATGGAATATGAATTACTAATTTGATATCAATAACTTAGGTTGATATGAACTTTCAGTGTTGGTATTGAAAGTGTCTATATGAGGAAAAAAATATCGATATTAACTTGGGTTGATATCAACTTCTTGCACTGGTAATTATTTATTTTATTATTTTCTTTTTTTGTTATTTTTTATTTTTTTTCACCAATCATAGTTCACTACGTGGATAATAAAAGTGACAAAAAAATTATGCCATTTTCCCATCTGCCACCATGGAATTAAAATGCCACCTAATGTGCCACGTGTACATGTACTTCACAACAATAACAATTTCCTTCCAAATTAGGGTTAAATTGATGCAAAATTGAAGACTAAGAGCTTAATTGATTGCACCGAAATGTTAAAGTTTCAAATATTTTTGAATTTTTATTCAGGGGCTTAAATTTTTGACCCTTAAGCTTTATCTTTAATTATTATTAAACTAATCAAATTAAATTCTAATTAAATTATATTCTAATTCAAGCGCATATTAAATATTTTAAACTTATCTTTAATTCAATTATATATTACATTTATTTAAAATAAAGTAATTACCATTATTTTAAAAAATTAGTGATAAAAAGTTGATTAAAACAAAAAATAAAAAAATTAAAAATATAATTATCGTTCATGAGATTTTTTGAAGATAAAACTTAATTGTATTAATTTGAGAAAACACATTTTATCTCTCTTAAAAAAGTAATAATATAGGATTCCATTAATCAAAGGAACATTTCTTCAAATTTTACTTTAAATATTAAAATTGCACTTTTGTCTTTTTTATCCTATTTTTTAATCAATTTTTATCACTAATTTTTAAAAAAGTTATAATTAATTTATTTTAAAGGAAAATAATATAATACATTTGTCTCAAAGTTAATAAATTGTCTTTGAAACACATTTTATCTCTTGAAAAAGTTATAATGTGGGACCCCATTAATCAAATTAATATTTCTTCAAATTTTACTTTAAATATTTAAAATACCTTTTTTTTTTCTTTTTTGTCCTGTTTTTATTTTTAATCAATTTTTATCACTATTTTTTAAATAGATACATTTGTCTCAAAGTTAAAATACTATATTTGAAACACATCTTATCTTTCTTGAAAAAGTAATAATATAGGATTTGATTAATCAAATTAATATTTCTTCAAATCTTACTTTAAATATTAAAAATACATTTTTTTCTTTTTTTTTGTCCTAATTTTATTTTTAAATCAATTTTCATCAGTTATTTTTTAATAGTTATAATTGATTTATTTAAAATAAAAACAACGTAATACATTTGTCTCAAAGATAGTATACTTTATTTGAATTGCAATATAAATTAATTAGAATTTACTTTGATATTAATTAAGGGTGATTCTAAAATTAATTAAATTTTTATTATTTTTAGTTAAGATTTTTTTGGATAAAATAAAGAATGAAAAGAAAAAAAAATTATCTTTTTATTTAAAAATATCTTAATAAATAACATCTAAAAAAGTTAATATATTTTTCATCAAAGAGTAACAAGACAATTTTCAAATCATAGAATTAAGTACACGTTTATTAAATTTTAAGAATAAACATATTTTATTTGAGTTTATTTATGATGTAGTAATAATGTATAAACTCTATATATTGTCATTGAACCACAAATTATCACATAATTAATAAATAAATTTGAAAGTTGGCAAATCCTTAAAAATAAATTAAATTAACTTTTATTATTTATTAATTAAGATTTTTTTTAATTTTTAAAATTTGCTAATAAATGATATGATAACATATAATTCAATGCAAGTATATAAAATTTGTATATTATTAATATATTAAATATAAATTAATTTTACTTATAGATGACTTGTTGGTAGAAATCAAAATTTTAATTTAAGTAAATAAGATTTAAATTTTAGTAATCTTAACAATAAAAAAAAATTTCATCCTCCACATTTTTTAAAATCTAAAATTTATATCAATTTAAGATGGAATCCAGCAGTAACATATACCATCCTGTTTGTTATCCTGTGGTCGTCTTAGTGCCAGTCAAAAAATAAGACAGAGCAAATTGGATTTGGGTTCCCTATATCAGCACTATAAGTACAGAAAATCGCGCGATCGCTTGCGATTATCACAATTTATTGCCAGTTCGCAACTATCGTCGATAGGGCCCAACTTTCGAGTTTTGACTTGGACTTTCTCTCTCGTTTTGGTCGGCTCTCTATTTGTGTCGCGCGTCTTCAATTATCTACTTAAATGGCTTACCATAGACGCTTCTTTGTTGCTAAAACAAACGATGGAGGACCTAAAACAAACCATGGAGGAGAACCTAAAACAAACCATGGAGGAGTTTTCACAGGCAATTCAACCATCCTTGAACGACTGTTTACAGGCATTTTCAACCTGCCCTGAAGACGATCAAGTTGTAAGCTTTGGTTATCAGATCAAACGTTGATTTATATCTGTTTTCTTTCTTTTTTAGTTTTAACCCACAGACTACATGGTCGTTGACTTGGGTTAAAACAGATTAAATTTAATTTTAATCTTTTCAGACAACCCAGATTCTTATGATGATTTCCAAGATAATTACAAGATTTCCCAGAGCTTGTGGCTGTGTGTGATTTGTCTTGTTCTTTTTTTTTTTTTCTTTTCAGAATAGAATACAGAAATTGAAGATATGTTTCAATTTGATTAGGTAGATGATAAAGGTTGAGTTGAAATTTTTTGCCTTTTCAGTGTTGGAGATCAATTTCACAGTCGCTACAACATTGGGATGAAGGTTCGATCCCCATCTGGGCACAAAGCAATAGTCAACCTGGAATAAACAATAGGGTAGTACCAAACCAGACTAATGTAAGCACAGCCCAAGCATCTCGACCTACAAACATTTCCAACTCTCCTCTTTTGCAAAGAAGCCTTTCAACTTTATCTGGATCAGAACGAGCTCTGAGGAAAAGGAAAATTGATCAGGCATATCGTCAAAGAACTAAGGTGAGGTTACCGTGTCTCTCTCATGTCATTTCTCTTCATTCTTTCTCTTGCAAGAATTTGAGATCATTGGAATATGCCTTAGGGAAATGGGGTTGAATTTCATGCAATTTTCATTCAGAATTTGTTTTTGATACTGAAAATATAATATCAGACAGTTGAAATTTGAACTTATTACTGTCTAAATTTTTATTCAACTTGTATTAAATTTAAAATTGATTTTTCTAATTAAAAAATGCAAATAGGTAGGTCTATAGAATCTCTGCAAATTCAAAGTGTTGTATTAAAAGTAAAAGGTAATTATTAATTGAATTAAATAAAACCATATATAATCTAGTTGATTTCGTTCAGTTTTGGCTTTTTCATTTAAAATTTGAATCTTTCAGGAATTTTCTCTCATTTTACTCCAACCTTTATTGCTTTGTTTCCAGAGATAAGCATTAGAGTTGAGAGATGTGAGTGAGAGATTAAAAAGGAAGTTCTAAAAGCTAAATCTCAATGTACATAACGATTATGTTCCTCTTTTTTTATGAGGTTGGAGAGTAGGGAAGGCTAGTTTGAGTCATGAATGAAATGTCTTTGTGCTTCTTTTCCTTTCCACACAGAAAGCTAAAGAGGATATGCAATCGAATTTGGGGATGCTTACTGAAGAAAATGAATCTTTAAATAAAGAGAATGAATCCTTGAAAAAGGATAATGCTTCGATGAAAGATACTTTGAGGGATCAAGAAAAAGAGATTGGTCGGTTGAAGAGTGATCTTTTTCAACTGAAGCACGAGCATGAGAAGCAAAATGTTCTTGTGCAAACACTTTCAGAGCTTTTAGTAAGTCTCTACTTGTCTCTAATCTTTGTATATATGTCAATCTATTTTTTCATTTTACTTGAGGAAAATAATGGTTATACTCCCTATTGGTTATAAAAGTGAGAAAAGATATTGGCTTTTGAAGTACTCATCTTTAGGTACTAGCTATGTTGCTCCCACTTTTCATTTTTATTGAAGTACCTGTATCTGAGAGATATCAAGCGGAAATGGAGATAAAGGTCGGACCTTCCAATCATATGGAAAAACTTATAAAGAATTGAATGTAACCGTGTTGGAGAAATATTCATATTTGACACACACCATTAAGTGCAAGAAACATAGGGTACTAGTGATTATTAGAATAACATTTTAACTTTAAATTTGAGTATATCTGTTTATGGATAATTATTATATTAGAAGTAATTAATCACATAGTTTAATTTGTTATGTTATGTCCTATATTAGTTAAGCTGGTATAAGTAATCAAGTTTTTAGACATTATTCAATATTAGAGAAAGAAAATGGAAATATAGAAAGTTGAAGAATGAAGTCTTAAGCAAAACATTTTTAACACTAAAACACCGATTAGCTTGATGAATCATGGTAATAATAATCAGCATAACCTTATTTATAGCCATAGAAGATCTTTACCATTCAACCTACAAAGCAAATTTGAGAAGACAAGAAATTGGGTTATGGCCAGACTCTTCCTCCCTTTGCCATTGGAAATGGTGGCAACAAATGCACGAGACTTCTTTTAGACTATATTTACAATCTTAGGTATTTGAAGGGAAGAAGAGACCTAGCAGACGTTGCAACCAAGGAGCTTGTTATTGTTGTTCAGGTCTTACATATCTGAACACCATACAATATAATTAATCTATTCAAAATTTATTTAAAATTGTTCCAATTAACTAAAATTTTGTAAATTTAATCTATTTAACAAGCTCTATCTTTCTAACAGCTTTGATTTATAGTTGTCATTTTTATTTAATAATTTTTAACAAGAAGCTTCACAAATTTCACTAAAATCTTCAACCAAGTCTAAAATTCTTGAGAGGTGTTAGGTTCATTTTTTTATTAAAATATTTTTTTAGGTTTTGAACATTCATTCTAGAAATTGTCTATCTGCCTTAAAGAAAGAATTAGTCGATTTATGATTGTTAATGTATTTTTTTATAAATTCAGTGGTATTGAATAAATTGTTAATGTGATACTACTAAATTTATACAATGACATTAACAACAATGAGTCTACTAACGGTCTGTTTGGAAGCGTATAGCTGCACGACCAAGACATCAATTACCACCATGCTATAGGGACATCATGTTTGACTGTGCCTGCAATGCGATATAGGGTCATGTAGTAGGACTTTGCTTCCTACTACAAATGTCAACTCTCACAACAGCTGCCCACAAAATTTTGATGTTTACGTTCAGTTTTTATTTTATTTTTCTTTTTTACCTCAAATCTACAATACAGGGTATAATGTCCTTGACACTTATCCTTTTGATAGGTTAGTCATTCTCTTTTTTTCTTTTTTTTTTCTTTTTTTGTTCTTACAACTTTGTATGTTGGTTCTCCCTTTTTTCTGGTTTCTGTAATTTTCCATTTTGGGTTCAATCTCTACTTTATTATTTTCAAATTTTATTCGGTTAATATAATAAATAAATATATAATTATATGATAGATAAATAATAAATAACAAAATTTGAAATTAATACATTAATAAATATAAATTATACTTATAGAATTATTTAGATTAGTGTTGAAGTAAATAAAATTCCCCTTTTTGGCTTTTAATAACTTGTTTTATTTTTTTTTTCCAAATGATTTCTTTACATAATGAGATAAATATACATAAATAATTAAGTAAATAACTATTAAATTATTAAGTTCCAGTATGTATAAATATATTTATTATTAACTAACTTGCGATTAGTGCGATGGATGGATTAGTTTTATTTATTTAAATATATATGTAGACATATAAATAAATATTATTTAATTTACATGTCTAATGTATATATAAAATACATATAATAGTTAAGTTACAACTTATCTTGAGTTAATTTATTAAAAGTGAAATAATTATGAAGGAAAGTAAATGTTAATTAAGAAGATCAATTATTAAAAAAAAAATATAGTAGTAGTAATAGTAATAATTAAATACTCTCTTTCATTTTTAATGTCTAATTTTTATTTAATTTAGAGATAACACAAATTTGTTAAATAAAAATTTCAAGAAATTTCATTTGTCCAAAAAGAATTAAAAAAAACATTATGGTTCATGATTTACTAATTCTGTTGCACTTAGTTCAATTTTCAATGTTGTTTTTTCCCTCAACGGTTCTGCATTTTATTTTATTTACTTTGTATAAACTCATGTAGGTGTTGTGTACAAAAATCATATCATTATGAACTGCAAACATTCATATGAGTTTATTATTGGTTTCATATGGGCTTTATTAATAGAGTTTTGTTTAAATGATTTTAAGCTTTGTTACTGAAAGCTAATTCTAAAAGCTAATTCCAAAAGCATAATATTTGTTAGTCTCGTACATGTTAGAGCTTAAATATGATGGTAAAAATTCTTAACTCAGTAGTTTTCATTGTAGGCTGATCCAGCGCGGCTCGAAAATGAGAGGCTAAAAGATGAAAATGCTTCATTGAGGAAGAATGCCTATCTTAATAACTTAACACTGCTTGCAGAGGAGAATGCAAAATTAAGAACTGAAAATAAGGTACTCAAGGTGCAGAATGATGCTTTATGTGGGAAGATTATTAGTGATAATGAGAAGAAGTGTGAACAAGAACAATAAGCTAAAATACTATTTGAAGATACACCCAGAGTAACCATATAATGTGTATGTGTTCATTCTTAATTGACAATATGTGCTATATTTATTTTGCTAGCTCAGCTTCTATTGCTTGGTCCATTCTTTCTACACTTTGTCTTAGTGCTCTACATGGCTTCCTTTGACGTTTTCTATTAGCCGTTCACCTTCTTGGTTTTGTTAAGTTTGTGATCTCTCCTCCTTTCTAGACCTTTTCTTTAGATCTTCAGTCACTATTCTTCCTTGATCTCTTTTATCTTCATGTTTACGCACTTGATCTTCAACCCTATCTTCCTTTTCACCCGCTCCCCCTTCTCACTTGCCTGCAATGGTGATGGGGGAAAAAGAAAAAGAAATCAGTTTTTTAGTATTCTTTTCAATGGGTGTGTCCCTGGTGGGTCTGATCTTGGCATCGTAGTGGTGACTGGTGAGGCTTCATCCTGTTATCCATGGAGGTGGTCATCTAGGAGTTAGTTTGCTGCTGCTGCTGCCTTGTTCCTATGGAAACGTGCTTGATCTTAATTCCTCCTCCAATTATGGTCTTTGAATTTGATTTTGTGTTTAATAAACCACCTATGACTGTTGTATGTATTCTTATCTTGTACATCAGTGATGAAATATCCAAACTTTTGTGGACATAAAGTTATGATATTGTCTTTATTGCATAAAGATTAGGTCCTCTTTTTCATATAAAGGGCCTTTCCATGATATGTAGATATCGTTTGGCCATTATCAACATATAAGAATTTCTTTATTAAAAAAACAACAAAAAAAAAAATGCAGCGCTTGCCTTCTTCCTTGTGCTTGCCTTATTCTCAGGTAGGAATCATCTCAATCAATTAACATGCTCTGAAACTGAAATGTAATCGGAAGAGTAGAGTGCTCTCTAGGCATTTTGGGTTTTCTTGGAGAAAAGAGTTTTAAAAATTTTGTAAATCTTTCTTTTTCAATACAGTAGATCAAATTTTACGAGTATGATACAGGTTAGTTCACATACTTGCATAGTTCCGATTCAACCAGATTATAGGGGTCTCAATTTCTACCCAAAATCGAAATGATATGATCCAAGCCCCTTGAAAATTTTTTTCCCAAAAAAATAAAATCATTATAATTTTTATTTGTTCTCAGGATATTTTTCATTTAATTTTTATTTTTTTTTTGTGTTAAAATTTAATACATGGACGACTTAATATATTTTAATATTATATAAGGTTTTGCAGGGTTCGGATCCTAAATGTTGAAACAAAAATCAGACTCATTTCTTTAACGAATCATATTTTTATCTAAATTTAATTAAGTTATTCAAATCATTCTTGATGTTTGAATAGTTCTACCGCAAAACGCAGTTTAAAATTCTAAAGTCGGGCTGCATCTACATGGCATTGCGGTGTCGCCGTTAGAAAGGAAGCATATCAAAATTTTATATGGCTGTAGATTTCTTTTTTCTTTGCCATTCCGAAAGTTTTAGGCTTGTGCGACTGCTGTCTGCCTTTCCCTCTCTGTTTTCAATTTTCTCTTTTCAATGCTCAAGACCCTCAAAAAAATCACCGGCCTTAATCATCCTTTTTCAATTCCCTTCAAACCATTCTCAACCCATACTTTGACAGAATCCCACCTCAAATCCTTAGTTCTCAACCGATATTCTGATGGAACTTTCTCTAATCTCCTCCAGCACGTCGTCGCTTTGCCCTCTGTTCTTCTCACCGCCTGCCAAAACCTCTCAAGCTCCCCCCATTCATCGTCGTCAACAACCCTTCTTGCCTCTGTTTCCAACCACTTCTCCATTCACCACATGGGTCATGAAATTTCCCAAAACAAATTCGATATTTCCTCTTGCTGTGTCGAATTGGTCCCACCAAGCCCTTCAGGTGAGCCCTTGATTTTACCAAATTTGAAGCTAAAAGTTTTGATTGAAGCTATTAGGATGGTACTAGAAATTGTTTATGATGAAAAGTTTGTGACATTTTCTTATGGCGGACGTGTTGGAATGGGCAGACATACAGCCATCAGGTACTTAAAGAACAATGTAACAAACCCAAGTTGGTGGTTTAATGTTTCGTTTTGTCCTAACAAGTTTGACGAGTTTAATGTTGATAAGTTGTGTTTGTTTATTGGGGAGAAAATTAGGGATGCTATGTTGATTGATGTGATAAAGAAGTTGTTTGAATGTCAAGTGGTTAGAGTTGAATTTGGTGGGTGTTATTTGGGGAGAGGGTTTCCTCAAGAAAGCGGGTTGTGTTCGATTTTGATTAATATTTATTTCAATGGGTTTGATAGAGCAGTTCAAGAAATGAGACTTCAAATGAATAACGAAAATCGTAAATTTGAGTTGACTGAGCTAGATTTGAGTAACTCCAATGTTTTCTATAAGCCAGTGAAACTGTATGCAGTTAGGTACTTGGATGAGATATTGATAATTACATCGGGGTCAAAGATGCTAACAAGGGAGTTGAAGAACTGGGTTTTGGATTTTTTGGAAGGGAATTTGGGGTTGAAGGTGGATAGAGTTAAAACAGCCATCCATAGTGCTGTATCAGAGAAGATTACTTTTTTGGGGATGGAATTGCAGGCTGTTCCTCCTTCTGTTTTGCATCCCCCTATGTCCGAAAAGGCAATTAGAGCAAGGAAGAAGTATCTTAGACAGAAGGAAGTTAGATCTTTAGAATTGAGGAATGCTAGGGAGAGGAATAGGAAAGAGTTGGGTTTGAAAATATTGAGGCATGTCTTTAAGAAGTTGAAGCAGAGTAACAATGGCTTTAAATTTGAATTTCAAATTGAGAATGAAGTAAGGGAAATTTTTAGCACTTGGGCAGATGAAGTAGTCCAAGAGTTCTTGGGGTCCTTGGAAGAACGATGGAACTGGCATCGGCTGCTCTCTAGAGGTGATTTTTTATCTTCAAGACATGTCAGAGATCAGTTACCACAAGATCTTGTTGATGCTTATGACAAATTCCAAGAACAAGTTGACAAGCATTTGACACCTATCAAAGCTAGAATGGCATTGGAAGAAGAAGAAAGGAGGGTAAGAGATGAAGAAGAGCAGAAATATTCTGAGCGCATGGTAGATGATCTGACCAAGCTGTGTATGAAAGTTTCTGCACCTATAGAACTTGTTAGGAAGGCTGTTAGAACGGCTGGTTTTACAAATAATATGGGTCGTCCCAGGCCAATCAGCTTACTATTTGCATTGGAAGATGCTGACATTGTTAAGTGGTATGCTGGTGTTGGGAGAAGATGGCTTGATTTTTTCTGCTGTTGTCACAACTTCAAAATGGTGAAAACAGTTGTTTCTTATCACCTGAGGTTCTCTTGTATTTTGACATTGGCACACAAGCATGAATCCACCAAACTTGAAGCAATTAAACATTACACTAAAGATTTGAAAGTTTCAGATATGAATGGAAACGAAGAAGTTTACTTCCCAACAGAGAGGGATGTCAAGATGATGGGTGATAAAAATCTTTCAGACCCGAAACCAGTGGATGGGGCTATATCTTTGGCTTTAATTAGATTGGCATCTGATGAGCCATCGCATTCTTGTATTGCTCATTTCTGTGACAGCATTGATACAATCATGTATAGAGTTAGGTTACTGCAAAATCATCTAAATATTAATCCCCTGGATGAAGCACATTGGGTTAAGGGTATGGGTGTTATTCATGAATCTTTGAATCAAAAATGCCTTCCACTTTGTGGTGATCACATAAATGATTTATACATGGGTAAAATCACCCTTCAGGACATTGACTGTACTTCATTTGTTGAAGTGGACTGAGTCATTTATCTCTTGGTTTTGGTTGTGATCAACTTTAATTCTGAAATCTGCAGATGATCTGCAACAAGAGGGCTGAAATGTATTTGAACCAACAAAAAGAAAATATTGGAGTAACCCAAGTAAGTTACGCTTATATTGTTTTCAATTTTGTTGATAGAAGCTAAGCCTTCTCCATTTGTATATTTAATTCCTTGAAATTTGACTGAGTTATTGATACCATGAATGTTATTGTGATTTCTGGTGATTGATTCTCAGTGTAAAATTGTTTGTGGGAAACATCTTGGTGGATCCATATTTATATATATGTATATGTGTGTGTGTGTGTGTGTGTGTGTGTCTATATATATAAAACACACCACACCCACACCCACACCCACACCCACACCCACACACACACACACACACACACACACATATATATATTTATCACATCCTTAATATTTATGTAATATTGATTCTCCCCCAAGATTAAAAGACTTTAACTTTAAACTTGCAGCCTCAGATCAATGGCAATGGAAGGTAAGATACATATGGCCAACTGACATGTCAGTTATTAATTCTGGATCACTGTGACCATTAATGCTTACATAAGCTCTTCAGGAAACTTTCCAAGTGTTGTAATTCCCTCTGATGCTTAAGGTCTATAAAAGCTCTAGTATTCTAAAATGATATTCTCTTGGTCTCCATGCCTCTGTGTTATGAGTTTATACTATATCCCCGTAAACCTTCTTCATGTGCACACATCATGTACATTCTAAGCCTTAAACACACCAACCCCTGACCCTACACAATGCATCAGCATAGCATAACTAGCTTATTGGTCCCCTAAGTGTTTCCCTTGTAGGGCACTGATAGTTTTTGATTTGCTATTGAATCCATATTTTGGATTGAAGTTTGCACCTTCTTAAATCTGCTGCTATGAACTTTTCTTGAATTTACTTTACATTGTCCTGGCTTCCTCAAACCCCGGTCCTTGCTTATTCATTTGAAATGTGCTAGTTAGATTACATGACGACCTCCAGTTTGCTAAAATGCTTGGATTGCTTGGAGCACTTAATGAGTTTAATCTAGAAATGGGTTTTATATAAAATTGGACGTAGACTTGTTCTATCCAAACTGTTGTCAATGAGGTGAATACTAGCCTGCAAGGTTGTCAGTAATGCAGTCTACTTGGCATATAGATTTAACAGCTAAGCTACATGACAGAAGTAGCTATTTCTAGCCATTAAACCTGCCAGCCCTTCTGCAGGTGGAATTTGATATTACTTCATTCTACAACTTTCAATAGGACTTCACCTCCTAGGTTAGCTTGCACCTTTGACATATATAGGTTCAAATACAATGTGGTGTGTAAAATAGCCTTTCTGAAACAGGAAAACAAAGCAAATAAAAGAAGAGCAAAATGACACATATCCATAGTCTTTGATTCAAGAAGCCTTGCAAATTTCATCCCAGGTGTTGTAGCTTGAAATGGAAGCATTTGACTGGTATATGTTGGTGAGAATCTCTGAAAAAATGTTTTTAAGTTCAACTCGTTTTAGCCTTTGCGCAACAAGTGGAACTCTCGAAATCTTATATCTTTTGTTTTAGGAAAATTACGAAGGTTTGAAAACTTTAATATCTTGCTTACAATATAGATTTATCACTCTTCACTTGCAGTTGTTTTAGACAAAGTTGCCGTTGCTAATCAAAGTACATCTTTCGTGATAAAAAAATGGCATATATGTGTATCCTTTGAGGTACAAGCAGAATGTCCCTTTGTCGTGGCAGCTCTCGTTAAAGAAATATTTCAAGTTTGAATCTTTGTAGAAAAAAAGAACTAGACACACTCAGCCTTGCACATGAAATCATGTACTATTTTCTTTGATGCGATCATCAGAAGTCATAAGAGACCAATAAAATGGTCGATGCTAGGGATTTCACATATAAAGCTAAGTGAATCACACATATCTACCGTTGTGTAAGGATGATAAAACTGGGTCTGGATGCATGAGAAGAGCCAGCTGTTATGGTTCCTTGATGGTACACATTTTCAGCATGGTAAAGCTGAGTACATTCAGAAGTATACAGTTGATTTGATTTCTTAAATGCTCTACATATTTTCATGTTAAAGTCTTACATCCCTGCAATGCCCATGGGATCAGTGTTTGGTTGTACTTTCATAATCCAAGCATTGAAATAGGTTTCTTCCTACCAAATTGTGGAAGGATCAATTGCCCAAGAAGGGTTTACATGGTTTCTTTGCTGGCCTTTTGGATACTGAATTCCTGCTTTAACGATCTGCTGATGAGGAAAAATGATTTTTTCATTTTTAGTCACGTGAGAGTTATAGGGTATTGAATCTTGCCTTTACAACAAGTGGGCTTTGGAAATGCAAGATTTGGTGAATGAGAAAAAGAGTAGGTTTTGAGACACTGAGAATCAAAGAATGTCTTCTGCAAATTTATTTATTTATACAGAACGTACTCTCCTTCAAAACATGTGTTCATATATATTTTTTTTATCTACTCTACAATGTTAATATAAACGCGGACTTTGTTTCCTTTTAAGTTTTAATCCCCACAATTCTCATTTCCTTTAGTTTTAGTCTTCTACATGGCTTCAATTAGAGGGGGCAAACCGGATAGTGGGTTCCGGTTAGGGTTTGAGTTGGGTTATTTTAGGTCAAATTATTATAAGGAAAAATTAAATCATTTTTGTTCCAATCAAATTGGATTCAAGTTAAGGAAAATTTCAACCTTGATGTATTTTGATTTGGGTTAATTTAAATTTGGATCATTTCGGGTTTGGGTAATGTCACTTTCGAAATTTTCAAATTTGATCATCGAATTATTGGAATTTAACATTTTGATTATTTATATTTAATTTATTAACTTTTAAAATTAAATAAATATAATTAAATTTATATAAAAAATAAAAATATCAATTAAATTATTTAAAAGCAATTTGTTAATAATATGGATTTTATTACATTAAATATAAAACTAATTTTATCAATGATAAAAATTTATTAATGAGTTTTTATTGATTGATATTTATTATTTATTTATAATATTTCATGCATTAACTATTAATTTATTATTATTGATTCATATTAATATTTCATATTATTCGTCTACCTTACTTATTAATAATAAATTAAAATGAACTAGTAATTAGATAATTTTAACAAGACTGCAATAAAATTAGCACTAAATAGTCAATAATGTTAAAGAATAGTACAAAATACTATTGGTATTGATTGCTTAATTGGTGTAATGGTTTAATCTTAAAACTTTAGTTTTTTTAAAACATCAAAATTACTTAGACATATTGATCATTCGAATAGTTAATAGAACAAGAAGAATTTTATATATACTTCATTTGTTACTTTATACCGTTCGTTAACAAAAATTAAAAAAAAAAACCTTTATACCATAAGCTTTCTCCTGGGTATTTTTGGGTCATATCAGATTGAAAACAAGAAGAGTAAGGAGCACTGGCCTATAAAACTGGCATTGCCTCTTGCATCGCAATTGCATCCTGTGCTTTGGAACCTATAGTTGTGCTAGCTAAAAGGCTGGTTAAGCGTGGCAACAGGTCAGCAACCTATTTGACGTACAGCACTGTTTCACAACTTTTCAGACTCAAAGACAAGGCTCTTCCCAGATGGTGGGGATTGACGTCGGTTGTTGCTCAGCTGGAGGATGGATGCTGATCTAAGTCCAATCGTACCCCGAATTGAGTCGGGCCAAATTATGGGCCTAGTTTGTCGGCCCACTTCTTGAACACCTTTTAAGTGAAATTAATATTTTGGTTAAAGTCATAAAAGATATTAAATTATATTAAAAATTATTTAATGTCAAATTTAAATTTAAAAAATTTTTAATATAATATGTGAATTGTAAGTTTATAAATTAACATGATGCTTATTTTTTAATATGATTAATTTCAAATAATGACATATAATAAATAAATAATTTTTTAATTATTACATTAATTAATAAATTAATAAATTAATAATTAAAATATCATATTAAAAAATTTTAAAATTCATTATCAAATTAAACATTTCACATGCCATTTAGACTAGAAATGGTGAAAATGTAAATATGTCGATGATAATCTTATATATTATTATATTATAATATACATAGACATCTAATAAGATTTGTCAAATGTATGAGTATGTAAATAATTTATTTATTTATTTATTTATTTTAGTTACATTAAGAGGACAAATAAGAAGTCTTTGTATAAGTAAGAGGGAGGGGAAAGACCTAACTTAAAATCAGATCTTTGATGTTCTTTTAAATAACATGTAAATTAATTTTTTAAAGAGTATAATTTTTTTAATTATAAATTAAATAATTTAAAATATATTCAAATATCAAATTTATTAAAATTATAAGTACAAATTTTGTTTTAAAATTAAAAATTAAAAATATGAATTTTATCCAAATAATTTTCATTTTTACTAGATAATCTTATTTTATAAATGATTTAATTTCACATGTTTTAAAATTATAAAAATTAAATTATCCGAGTCTTTCAAAAACTCATTATATTCTTTTTGTTTTAATTTGCATCAAATAAAAATTATCTTTTAAAAAATTGACGTAAAATATTAAAAATTCAAATAAATTTTTCATATTAAAATTTTAAATAATAGAATATATATTCATCTTAACTCTAACTAATAATTTTATATTTAAAAAAATAGGTAAGAAATTTGATTTGATTTTTATCATTTATTATATCTTTTTAATTTTTTTAAATATCAATTTGGAAATTATTTATTCGATCCTAAATGTTATCTAAAAGTTATTCTACAAATTAAAGACTATAAATATAATGTATTATATAAATTTTTTTTATTTTTCTATTTGTAATTTTTTGAAATTTTATTACTACTGTAATTTATATTTTCGATTTACGTCTTTATTTTTTTTAAGTATATTATGTTACTATTTGTAAGTTTGTACTTATTAAAATTAATATTTTTTAATTTATTTTTCTTTTTTCATATATCTTCTAATATTTTTCATATTTCATATAGTAATTTGAATAAAATTACAAAAGTGAAAGTATGCTATTATGCTTATATTTTTATTATTTAATTCATTCATCTTTTGATAGTATATATGTTTTTATTCTTTTAAGAAAGATATATAATTTATTTTTATGTGATATAAATTTTAGATGTAAACATATTATTACAAATAAAGATTGTGTAAAGTGAAAACATTTTCTTTGTGCTTTTTGTTTTAAAATTTATTTTTATGACAAATTAATCAAATATAAATTTTACATACTATAAATTTTAAAAATACAAATTGATATATATATAGACACACACAAATAAATAAAACTACTCTGCAATATAGTAATAGAATAAATTGATGGCAGTCAAACAACAGAGATATTAGATGTGTGCTCCAGGAGATAGCTAACGGTGATGGTACACTCTTGTTCTTATTCACTTCGCTTTTAAAGGATAAAAATACTAGAAGAAAACAAGGTTTATCTCTCCAAGCCTCCAAGGAACTGAGATCTAACAATGCCCCCAAACTCCTTTTGATTTTCCAGACATAGATAGAAAGAAAAAGAAGCTAAAGAAATGGGAGGGTACGCGTTGCGTTCAGCATTTGATTCAAAATCTGGGCAGATGATAATGGTGGCGTTGCTTTTAATGGTTGGCTCTTTCTACGTTGGCAACCTTTTTGGCAACAATGCTCCCATTTACATCTCTCAAGATTCTGCTACTTCGTCTTCATCTGCATCCGCATCTGCATCTTCATCTTCATCTTCATCTTCATCTTCATCTTCATCTTCATCTTCCCCTGGTAACTTTCCATCATTCACTTGAAATGGATCACACCCACTTCCAATTCAATGCCTAATACAAAGCAATTACCTTCATTACTATTTCTTTTTAGCTCTTTGATCTGTTTTTATGATTGTTAGCTTAAACTGTTAGGAGAATATGGGTTTTATTTTTTTTCTTTGATGTTAGGTTGGGTGGCCGATTTTCCCAAAAAGGTTAAGCTGATAGAAAAGGACACAACTATTCTATAATTAAGTTCTAGGGGCGATGTCATAGAAGATATAATTCTTTGGAGGGACTGTTTATTTTTGTAATAATTTTTCCTTAATTTTTAAAATTCATAATCTAGATTGAAGGGTCTAATTCTGCCGTGCAAAATATGGCCACATTGCATTGGCTTGCTTATTGATTCTTTCAATGTGCATAGCGAGATGATGATGACCTTTGGTCACTAAAATCTATTCAATTGCTTATAGCCATTTGTATATCAAACTGTTATTAATGATGCAAACAATAGCGTCTAGCAAAAGTGTCAAATGGAAAAGTATCGGTATAATGCAGTATGTATATTAGCTGCTTCCCCTTTGAAAGGAAAATGAAGAATTAAAACTAAAATGAAAATGAAAAGAAAAAAATGAAAAGAAAGCAACTTTAATCAACTATCTCCTCTCTACATGATGTAGAGCAGTAGGCTCAACCCAGGGGAACATTTTGAATTTCGACATCTTTTTTGAGATGCTGCTGTTATTTCTGGTATCAATTATATGCTACATCCTATTTTCAATGGCTTCAAACTTCAGTAAGACCATAAAATGCATGCTATGTTTGTAACATCCTAGGCCTTTTACTTTAAAACAGGAGCATATGTAAGGTTTGTGTAAGTGGAAATATATGAATGCGTGATTTACCTCATCTTAGCTTTTGGGCAGGCCCTACCACTAAACTGTTAATAGCTTATAAAGCTTTTAGACATGTTACCCAGATTTTTGAACTTTTTTTTTCTGGGGAATGATATGGGTTTATTTTCTCCGCTTGCAGCTATATCTACACTTGTTAACAAAGTCGCTCTTACTTATCGGGAAACACCGCTTGTAGTCCCACCAAATGGGATGAATATATGTCCATTGAAGTTCAATGAGTATATCCCTTGTCATGACATCTCTTATGTGAAGCAATTGCTTCGAACCTTAAATGCTTCCAGAAGAGAAGAGCTAGAGAGACACTGCCCTCCACTTGAAAAGCATTTATTTTGTTTGGTGCCACCACCAAAAGACTATAAAATTCCAATAAAGTGGCCAGTGAGCAGGGATTATGTTTGGCTAAGCAATGTGAATCATACACATCTTGCTGAAGTCAAAGGAGGACAAAACTGGGTGCATAAGAAAAGTCAGCTGTGGTGGTTTCCTGGTGGTGGTACTCATTTCAAGCATGGAGCCGCTGAGTACATTCAAAGGTATATACATTGATATGGCTTAACAAATGCTCTACATCTTTCTTACAATTGCCTTTGGATGAGTATTTCTTGATACTTCTGTCATCTAAGCACTGAAATAGGTTCTATCTTTACAAAATTAGGTGTTACTTTTAAAAATTATTAAAAATTATTTCAACCTGTAATATAAAGTAGAAACTGTTTAGTGTTAAGCTTTGGGGAACTTTGGATGGACTTTCCATCTTACCTCTTTTCTCCTTTGAAAAGTGCAATAGCCTCCAAAGAAATTCTTATTTTAAAAGTGGGAAGCCTGAGTGGCACCTAAGAAACAATATTAAAACAATTGTTCTAGTGAAATGGGAAGAAGATTAGATGTGAATTGCAATTGCTTTAAAACATACAACGAAATCATTAGATGAATAGTTTCTCCCAGTTCTGATGTTGTGCTACTTCTTTTTCTGTGTTTGGTATATGGTAACTATTCACTATTTTATTCTTTGTTTCCTTTTGGTACACATCACAGAGTCCAAGAGGGGAAGGAGGGATTTGACCCTTGGACCTTATCTCTCTTTGGTAGAAACCATTATGCCTATTCTTTGTTGACTATATTAGAAAATACTATATATTTTGGTTATAGGTCCATCAAACATCTCATCTAATATTGTTCCCAGTGGCTTTGCCAAAGCAAAGAACACTTTAAATATGCCTGCCTGGAGGAAATCTGCAAATACTATGGTTAAATGCCCTACTTGTTTCCTTTGGATTATTCTACCAAGAAGGCTATGAATAACTCTTCTTGCTAGCACAACTCTGCTATTCATGCCAAGAAAAATCAGAAGGAAATCCTGGATTCAAATCATTCTTGAGAGTTGAAGAAGATTTCTAGCCCTGGTGGAAAGGTGGGTAGGGCATATATCTGGTATTACAAGTCTACTAGACTTCCTTGCATCTCTTCCTGCGTCCTTGAGAATTTCAGGATAGTTATTACGGATTTATGCATGGGTGAATGTGCTTTCCTTTAAATCTTTCTGGTAGCTAATAGTACCAACTTTACAAATTGTTTTTTTCACTTGGAATATATTTTGAAAGCTTTAGTTCTGTCTGGAGAAAAGGGATTTGTTTCACTAGGCCCAACCAAATTGGGGTATGGTTGATTTGAGTTGTATGAACAATGTATGGACACCAAATAATCTTCTTTACGCTGGGCCTGAAGGATTTGAAATTGTCCTTTTCCACCTTGAATCACTAAACTGATGTCCCTTAGGCCGGGTGACAATGTGACTGTTGACGAATGGGTTTCATTTAGGAATCATATAGTTGAGTTTATATTAATTGTCAATGCTTTAGGATTTGGACAAAATTTAACATTTTCTTTTGAAACATGTTTGTACTCACTTTCTTTTTTTTTTTTTTTAATTCAAAAGGCATTATTAACTTCATCTCTCTCTCCCTCTTTCTCTTGTGGTATTCCTGCCTCCTGTTGTTGGAAATACAGGCTAGGAAATATGACAACTGATGACGCAGGTGACCTGCGTTCAGCAGGGGTAGTTCAAGTTCTAGATGTTGGATGTGGAGTGGCCAGCTTCTCAGCTTATCTTCTTCTATTGGATATACAAACGATGTCTTTTGCTCCCAAAGATGGTCATGAAAATCAGATTCAGTTTGCTTTAGAACGAGGAATTGGTGCAATGATCTCTGCCATAGCCACTAAACAGTTGCCATATCCCAGTAATTCTTTTGAGATGGTTCACTGTTCTAGATGTCGTGTTGATTGGCATGAAAATGGTACTTTTCTGTTTTCTGCTGCACACTCTATATTCAAGTTAACTTTCTACTACTTTTCATGACTAAATGCTCAAATATTGGATAAATATAACTTTCTGAACAATCTTGCTATCAGAAAATACATTATGGATAACAATGAAAATATAGAAAGGTCACTAGTACCTTATTCATAGCCACTTGTTTAATCAACTGCTGGGATTCATTTTTTGGGACCAATACTATCTGCTACCTCATTAGATTGCTTAGAAAGGTTCTTTATTATTGCACCTAGCTAGTTCCTTCTCATATCTGTGGCATAAATCTCCACCTATGGATCTAATATTTCCAAAATTCACTTGATGTTTGTAGGTTTCTCTCTTTCGGTTAAGATAATTGTCACTTTTTATTCCTCCAAATTGAAGGAATGTACTAAAAATTGAAGAGCATACTTACTAGCAGTGTCTAAGCCAGGATTTCGGGGGGTGGGGGGTGGGCAAATGCATATGAATGCACAACTGTTTATATACACATTATATTATGTGTATATTCTATACCTAAAATTAAGAAAAAATGATTATGAAAGCAAATATTAGTTAGAAGTCTATTTTTATCAATTCATTTTTATTATTTATTTACTTTTATCAATTTATAGTAACTAGTGAAGTTGTATTTTCAATTAATGCTAAGTATTTTTTACAAGTCAAACTAATTAGGTATAGTTTCCAGTGAAACATTGTGAGTTTCTAATAAAAAACAATGTAAAAGAAAAAAATTTAAAATTAAAATTGATAGATTAATAGAACTTAATAAATAAATCAATACTCTGTAGCTTTAAAGATTTCAAAATTTTCATGTAAATAATCTAATTAGAGCTCTTAAATTATAGTATGAGTATTGGTTTTGATTTTCATTTGTTGTCTTCGTGTAAATTGTTTTTAGTTGTGAACTTCACTAATTTTATTTAGGGATAATACTTCATTTGGCCCTTGAACTTTTTTAATTTTTTTAATGTGGTACTTAAACTAAAAAAAATTCTAATTAGGTATCTAAACTTTAATTCTATGTCTTAAGTTGCTCCAATCTTTTAATACCGTTAGAATAATGTTGACGTGGTACTTAAATGTTGATGTGGATGACACGTTATTGGCATATGGCAATGATGTGGTTGCCACGTCTACCTTTTAAACAGCAGCCAATTAAGATTATTGTCATCAGCACCCCCTTTGAACCCTTCTCCTACATACAGAAACCAACTCACTAATACACAGTTTTCAAAAACCATCAAGCTTTGAAATCCTACCAAACCCGCAGCACAACCATCAAATGCAACACAACTGAAAGCCAACAAAATCAACAATCCACATCTAGCAATCAACACAAGCTCAAAATTACACAAGCTTGTCAGCAAGCAAAACAAAAGGAAAAAAGCATTCAAGCACACCTAGAAAATTTTTGGCTATGGGGTTGTGTAATTTTTTGGGTTATCCATGGGGAGAGAATAGTCCATAGGAAGTGGTTAGGCTTAGAGCGGTAGTTGGCAAAGGGGGAAAATCGGCGATAGAAGTGATGGCAGTTGTGGTGGTCGGTGGTGGCCAGCATGGTTTTTTGGGAGATTCGAATGGTGAAAGAAGATAGGATGATGAGGGAAACAACATATTGAAAACTCGAAACAATTGGATAGTGGAAGGGGACCAAAATGTCAGTGAAAGGCTACGACTTTGGCTTCAGATCTAGGCCATTGGAGGCCGATTTTCAAGAATTTGATCCCAGATTCGAGATGAGGCAAAAAAGGGGTTCGTGGTGAATTTGGGGCTTCAATGATGGTTGGACGGTGGTGGGGTATGGTGGACGACGATGGCACAATGACTGACAGTGGTAGTTGGAATCCTAGAAGAGAGAGAAGCTCTGAAAAAAGAGAGAGAGAGGAGAGAGAAGATGGAAAAAAAAAGAAAAAATCTGATTTCTTCCCATATATAATAAGATCAAAACTACGTTGTTTTAATAAAAAGGGTTAAATCAAATTGCAATTTTAAAGAATAAAAAATTATAAAAAAAAACCTTTTCTTAAAAATTATATTTTAAAAACTTTTTATTTTTTAAAAATAACACGTGACAGTCACATTTAGGCCATGTGGTAGCCATTTATCATCCACATCAGCATTTAAATGCCACGTTAGCATTTTTTAAATGGTGTTAGAAGTTGGGGCAATTTATACATGAAAATATAGTTTAGGTATTTGATTAGAAATTTTTTTTTGTTAGGTATCTCATTAGAAAAAGTATGATAGTTCAGGGGCCAAATGGGATATTATCCCTTTTATTTAAGAATTTATATGTCCTGTTATTTTATCTTTTGTTAGTAAAATGTTCAGCATATTCACACTCTAGTATTTGGCTTTGTTGTTCGTGCATGATTTGTCACTCAATGAGCATAACTTGAATCCTTGCTCTTCTAAATCAAAAGTGTTTAGCCTGTTTATTGACATTATAAGAAAATGAGTAATTTATTTTATAAAAAAATCCTCACACTTTGCAAACACATATTAGACACTATTATTTATATAGGCTTTTCATTTTTAGAGAAGACAAAGTTTAAATGTTAAACCTGAGAAAAAATTTGATACTTTTGACTTTTTAAAGATTCAATGAATTAGAATATAATAATAATAATAATAATAATAATAATAATAATAATTTGAAAAAACTAAGAAATAAAATTGTGTGGAAAACTAAGAGAAAAAACTGAATGTATATTAAAAATTGCTTATTAAAAATTATACAAGAACCTTAGGTTTATATACACCTAACTAGGGGTTAAACTAAGAAACTAAATATTTCCTAACAAAATTGATCCTATAATTGAGGGATTATCTATCCTAATTTTTTGTCCTTAATTCTAGGGATACAAATACTTAATTCTAGATATACAAATATAAATATACAGATTATAAGATTACAATTAGCTGTAAATAAGTGTTTCCTACACTTCTTCTCGAGTTGGTGAATAGGTATTTTCCATTCCCAGCTTGAAAATAATTTCTTGAAATGTTGCACTGTTGAGACTCTTAGTCAACACATCTGTAAGTTGACCCTTGGTTGAAACATAAGGTGTACAAATCAACTCACTGTCCAGTTTCTCCTTTATGAAATGCCGGTCTACTTTAATGTGTTTTGTTCTATCATGTTGCATAGGATTATGTGCAATGCTTATTGCAGACTTGTTATCATAGTAGAGTCTCATTAGTCCATCCCACTTGATCTTCAAGTCTTTTAGGATAATCTTTAATCATAGTAGTTCACAAATTCCTTGAGCCATTGCTCTGAACTTTGCTTCAACACTTGATCTTGCCACCAAAATTCTATTTTTTACTCCTCCAAGTCACAAGATTACCACCTAGGAAAGTGCAGTAGCCTGAGGTGAATCTTTTATTAGTTATTGAACTTGTATAATCAACATCTGTATATGCTTCTAGAACTAGTCCTGAATTTCTTTTGAATAAGATACCTTTTTCTAGGATTGGCCTTCAAATAGTGCAATACATGATAGACAGCTTCCTAGTTTCCTTCAAAAGATCCATCACATATTTCTGTTGTGAGATGAATACCAAATAACCGGAAGTGAGTTACTTCAATTCCTAGGAAGGTATTTTAACTCCTAGCTAGTTTTAAATCTCAAATCTCTAGCAAACACTATTTTTAAAGAGATTCTTTCTCTTTTTCATCATCTCCAGTTGCAATTATATCATTAAGTACATTAATAGAACTGTGACTCCTTTGTGAATCAGAGTCTTGATAACCAATGTGTGATTTCCTTGACTCTGTTATATCCCATTGCCACCATGCACTTTGGCAAAATCTCAGCCCTAGGAAACTGTTTAAGGTCATAATAAAGCCTTTTTCAGCTTGCAACTTTTTTGCCTTCTAGATGATGCTCCAAATCCTCGGTGGATACCTTCAATATATATTTCTTCTCCAATCACTAATTAGAAAAGCATTCTTTACATCAAATTGTTGAAGTTGCCAATTGTAATTTGCAGCCAATGATAACAAAATCCTAATTGTATTCATCTTGGCAACTGGAGCAAAAGTTTCCTAATAATCCACTCCATAGGTTTGAGTGTAGCCTTTAGCCACTAACTTGGCTTTATACCTTTCAACAGTACCATTTGCCTTATATTTTACAGTGAAAGCTCATTTACACCCCAATGGATTTTTTCCTTTAGGCAACTCTACCAGTTCTCATGTCTTATTTTTCTCTAAGGCCTCCATTTCTATTTTCATGGCTTGCCTCTATTTCTCATTGGATAATGCATCGGATAATGTAGTTGGAACAGAAATAGTGTTTAGGCTTACAAGAAAATTTTTGTAGGATGGTGAGAATTTTTCAAATGACACAAAATTAGAGATTGGGTATAGTGGATGCTTAGTACATTCTCTGGTTCCTTTTCTAATGGCAATAGGCAGATCATAATCCCTAGTTGTAGTTTTAGGAGATTCATGCTTATTTTGAGAAATAGAGTCAAAGACTGTAGTTACCTTATTTCCAGAGTTAGGATCAGGTTCTGGATTGACACTGGTTCAGGATCTGAAACTTTTCTTTTTGAGTACACCTGTAATTCCTTCATAGAATCAAGAACAATATTATCCTTTGTCACATCTTCTGTGTTTGGAATGGGTTCAAACTCAAATTTAGTGTTTGACTTGGGTTCAGCAGAAACAAGTTTCGACTCAGAAGAATTAATGAGTGAAAATGTTGAAGAAGAGGACAAATCAAGCAAAAAGAAGTCTTTGTCTTTATCTTTCATGAATAAAGTCTCCCCTTGAAGATAAGGTTGAGTAAAAAATGGTTTACTTTTTTCAAAAGTGACATCTGCAGACACATAGAACTTTTTAGTTGGAGGATGATAACACTTATACCCTTTCTGAGTTGATGAATGTCCCACAAAAATGCACTTAATTGCTCTAGGATCTAACTTTCCCCTATTGTAACTGTGAACATGAAAAAATGATGTACAACAAAATATCCTAGGTGTGAGGTTGTTTGTGGTATTAAAGTTAGGATAAAATTGTGAGAGTAGTTCCGTAGAAGTTTTCAATCCCAAAACCCTTAAAGGTAACCTATTTATAATATGTGTGGCAATGAGAACAACTTTCCCCTAGTAAGAATTGGATACGTTTGATTGAAAAAGTAAAGCTTGGGTTGTGGCTAGTAAATGACTATTTCTCCTCTCTGTCATTCCATTTTGCTGTGGAGTATTAACACAAGATGACTCATGGATAATCCTTTCCTTTTGAAAATAGGTAGTTAAACTCTGGTTAAAATAGTTTATTGCATTATCAAACCTAAATCTCTTGATTTTCTCTCCAAATTGATTTTGGATCATGTTTTGGAAGCTTAAAAACACATTATTCACATCTGCTTTGGATTTAAGTAAAAATATCCAAGAGACCCCAGTACAATCATCTATGAAAAAAACAAATCACCTTGCCCTCGAAATATTAGGAATTGTAGAGGGACCCCATATGTCACTATGAATCAAGTAAAAAGGAGTAGAACTTCCTTTATTACTAACCGGAAAAGACCACGTCTATGCTTTGCAAGTTCACAAACATCGCAATGAAAATTTTCGGCATTTAATCCTTTGAACAAAAAAGGAAACATGTTTTTCAAAGTTCCAAAAAAAAGATGTCCAAGACGAAAATGATAAAGCCAAATTTTGTCTTTATTAGGAGATTTTTCAGAAGAAATGTCAAAGGTAAACTATTCTTAATATTATTTGTGTTGTTTGATGTCTCAAGATAGTATAGTCCACCCTTCTCCTTAGCAAGTCCAATCCTTTTCCCCGAACTCTAGTCCTGAAATTCACAATAAGAGGGATAAAAAGTCACTTTGTAGTCTATATCTTTGGTAAATTTTTGTATAGATATCAGATTAGTAAACAATCCACGAACATGAAGAACATGAAGAACATTTTTAAGAACAAATGAGAGATTAATTTGAACATCTTCTAATCTTGCCACTGTAGTAAGTGAACCATCTGCAACAACAATTTTCTTATTCCTAGGACACAAGTTATAGATACTAAACTTCTGTGAGGAATGTGCCATATGGTCTGTGACTCTTGAGTCAATGACCCAAGAACTCGTAATGGGCTTAACCGAGACATTTAATCCATGAGAACTAGAAGCTTTACTTGAACTAGACACCTTACCCAAGGAACATACCCCAGTAGGTTTTTAAAGGGTTTTCAATAGGTTTCTCAGCTTTTCAATCATTTTTCTGTCCAACTCTCATTGTTTTTAAGACATTTGTAGTATTTCGGTGATTTTCTAAGTTGATGCTTCCTCAAATTGGGTGGTAGTGATATCTTTCTTTGAACTAAAATGACTATGACCAGAAATGACTCTTAGCAATGAAGGCTAAAGAAGGAAAAAATAAAATGGCTATGAAGGCCTTAACAGGGTTCGACAATGAAGGCTTAAACAAGGTTCGGCAATGAAGGCCTAAAATAGAAGTCAACAATGAAGGCTGAAAATTTTGCTTCCCAAGAAGAGCCTAAAGCTCTGATACCATGTGAAAAAACTAAGAAATAAAACTGTGTGAAAAACTAAGAGAAAAAACTGAATGTATATTGAAAAACTGCTCATTAACAATTATACAAGTACCTTAGGTTTATATACACCTTACTAGGGGTTAAACTAGGAAACTAAATCTTCCTAAAAATTGATCCTATAATTGAGGGATTGTCTATCCTAATTTTTTGTCCTTAATTCCAGGGATACAAATACTTAATTATAGAGATACAAATATAAATATACAGATTACAAGATTGCAACCAGCTGTAAATAAGTGTTTTCCCACAAATAATAATAATAATAATAATAAAAATAATAATAATAATAAATTTCAAAATTCTTTGGGGGCCAGGGCCTCCTTTGGTCCCCTTTGCAATTGATCTAAGAAAGATATCTAGTATTTGTAAGTCTAAACATGACTTAGATGTACTTGACCACATCATGACAGAGTTTCACTGCTTAAAGTTGGTGGATAGAGGGGAAGCTACCTAATGAGGTGTGTCATTTTCTTTGATGTGGAAAGCGTTACTAATGGCTATTTGAGAAGTTGTAGTCAGTTCTTGATTTGCAGGTATTGTTATTTTTGGTGTCAGTGTTAGGTTTGGTAGACTACTAGTTGGATTAATCAAATATGTGCTGATAAAGTATTTCTATGAGAGTGTCATGTTGGAAAAAAAAAATTCCTGTCAGTTGCAACTTTAATAGTACTTTGATGTCTTGTAGTCCTTAAATATGTTTATGCATTGATATAATGAGCTACAAGAAGGGTTGTTGGAGGCTCTCCCCAGCCTCAGCCTCCTCTCCCTCTAGCCTTTTCCTGCTTCAATACTTATTTCTCTTGCTTTTCTGTTCAAGGTAGTACTATGATGTTAAAATATATGCTTGACTCCATAAAAGCCTTGTTTGACACCAATAGCTTTCAGATATTGCCTTATTAGCTCTCTTGTACATGTTCTATACTGAATTGAGTCTCCTAATTTCAAGCTCTATCATATTGTTTCTTTCAGATGGTATTTTACTCAAGGAAGTGAACCGCCTCCTGCGACCTAATGGATATTTTGTCTATTCAGCTCCACCTGCTTATAGGAAGGATAAAGATTATCCTGTAATTTGGAACAAGTTGGTGGATCTAACTGCAGCAATGTGCTGGAAACTTATTGCTCATAAGGTTCAGACTGCCATCTGGATCAAAGAAGAAAATACATCATGCCTTCAGCATAATGCAGAGTTGAAGCTCATTGATATTTGTGATGCTGTAGACGAGACTAAACCATCATGGAAGACTCTTCTAATGAATTGCATACAACTAAGAAGTGCAAAAACAGATACTCAGAAGCTTCCTCCTAGACCAGAGCGTTTGTCAGTATATTCGGAGAGTCTCGGTAGAATCGGTCAGTTCAGCTTGCATCTGTCTAAAGTTATTGTTCTAAGATCACTCATATATTACCCAAACAAAAAAATCATGGGTTAATTACACATTTGCACCCAAACTATAGTCAAATGTTTGATATTAGCCTCCAAAGTTTAAAAACACACAATTAAGTACTCAAACTTTGCCTCAATTTATCAGTTTCCAAATTAAGCTAACTATGTTAGTCAAATGGATGATTTGTCCAAAAACAAATCAATGTGGAACGTGTCTAAAAATGCCACATCGTTTTATTTATAATTGATATTTTCTAAAGTTTTTTATTTCCAAAATTAAGAAAATAAAGAAAATTAAAAAAAAAAAGGAAGAGAAAATTGAAGAGAAAGAGAGAGAGAAGGGAGGGAGAGGGGTTGGCCAACCTTCCCGTTCCCCTTCCCTTCTCTGTCTATCTTCCATTTCAACTATTTCCCCATTTTCTCACTTTTTGTTTTGTTTTGATTTTTTTGGTGATTTTTTTTTTTGTAGTTTTTACTTTTTCTTTTGTTAGAAACTTTTTAATTCAAAAATATTTACAAAAAATCAGAAATAAAAAATGATGTGCATTTTTAGACATGTTGTGCATTTTGTTGGCTAGTTTTGGACACAACAGCCATTTGATTAGTGAAGTTTCATATGCAAACTAAAAATGGAAGCAGAGTTCTAGTACCTAACTGGACATTTTTGAACTTTTCGTACAAATCCATTATATAACTATAATTCAGGTATAAAATGTGTAATTAACCTAAAAATCCATTATATGACTATAATTCAAATATAAAATGTGTAATTAATCTAAAAATCCTTCATGAAGAAATTACATGTTTAATCTTTCACGTAATCATAACACTATATTTTTTATGCTTTTGAACTAAATTGGAACTAAATTGAAACATAGAATGTACAGAAAAAACCTTCTATCAAACCAGTTAAGATTTTGAATTTAACAAAGAAGAAACTTCTCTCTTATAATTTGATCAGCAGAATATCCTAACTGATGCTTTTTGAATCTGAGTCTTGTACACCTTCTAATGTGTTTAAAGTTATTATAGTTTAATGCCAATCACCATCTCATTATCATGTTAAATCTGAAAGCACTTGGCTTATCTAGTTCAAGTTTGGGAGAACAGCTTCTATTGTTCTAAAAATAAGGTTATACTACTTAATTCTAGCAGTTAAGTAAACATGGGATTATGGGTTTCGTTTTTTACATTCTAGTTAATATGATTTGACCTCTTGGTGTGTCATCAACTTACAACCAATTAATTAGGTCTTAGATAATATCACCTGTCTTCTTTCACTGTCTTGAACTAGTGTAGCAGGCAACTGCCACTGTCATAACTACAATGTTTTTTTTCCTATAGCAAATCTTATTCATAGGGCTCTTCTTCTGGACATTAAACACGATGTTGCTCTTTTATCTTGAGTTTACTGTCTCATTACATGTATAAGAGACACCATCTGATAATATGAGCCTTGAATATGACATGACAGATTGCTTCCCATGGTGGTCATAATTTTGGATTTGTGCTAATCTTATTACATAATGCTGAACGGAAGGAATACACTTAGGCCCTGTTTGGATCATGAAATATTCAAGGAAAAGAAAATGAAATTCTTAAATTTTATTTTCTTGGGTTTGGTGAAGGTGAAAAATATAGAGGAAATTTTGGAATAATTATTTCCTTTTACTTAAAAAATTGAGGAAAATGAGAGAATTTGTTGGGTCCTTCATCTCCATGAGCATCTTCAACCGCAACTACCTAGCAGAAAGGAGAGAGAAGGAGAAGACATCATATTAAAGAAGAGGGTGAAACTGAAAAGTGGAAAACAAAGCAAGAAATAGGGACTCCATTAACTGCTGGCCTTGCTGGCAACGGCTCCAGCGTTCTGTGGAAGTGCGACAATTTTGAAGGGGTAGATATATAATGAGATGGACAAGAAGATGATGCAGCAATGAAAAAATGTTTTTTTTTTTTTGCCAAAAAGAGTGAACAAACCTTTAGGTTAGTTAGAAGGATGGTTGTTCTTAGCCCAAACTAATGGTAAGGCCAAATGACTGAGAACTAAATCCAGCTAGGAGACGAGAAAAGCTTGAGAATGGTTTCTTTTATTCCTTCAAATATTATGAGTTTAATTCTTTTTTTTACTATTAAAAATTTAAAATTATCTTTTAAAAAAAATAAAATTTATTAATACGATTACAGAAACAATTTCAATGATATTTTCCTTGTCCAAACAAAGTAAGGAATTTCACTTTACCCTCCATTTTCTTTCCCTTCACTTTTTCCTTAGTATTTTCTTGTGCCTCAAACTTTTCCTTTCACCAAAGAAGGCCTTAGGCTTCTTTTGTCAGTTTTTTTGATATGATATTTGTCATAATCAATAGCATATGCATTTTTTAGTTCCTTTCATGAATCAAAAACAGTTGGTTGTTGAAGATAACTTTAGTTCTACTTGCATGGACATTGATTGTAGGTTGAGTGTATAACACATTAAGCAAGGAAAACTAAATTTCTGATAAAAGATTAGTGAGCAAGAAGGATTTATGGAGTTGAGATCTTTTATTCTAAATTTAATTTTTCTTGGTTATTTTTTGCTTCTAAAATCCTGGATCATTATATCTGGTGAAATGTTTGTGTCATTTTAGTGGTTATGAGTTGTTTGACTCGGAAGTTTACCTTATTATTTGGAGCATATTATCAATGGCAGTTAAGACACTTGGAGATGTTATTTGATTCGACATGATAATTGCTTTGCATATTGATAACAGGCATCAGTAGAGAAGAATTTAGTTTGGATTCCGACTTCTGGCAACATCAAGTTCACTATTATTGGAAGCTGATGAACATTAGCAAGACTGAAATACGAAATGTGATGGATATGAATGCCTTTTGTGGTGGATTTGCTGCAGCTTTAAATGAATTTCCTGTTTGGGTAATGAATATAGTTCCTTCAAGCATGCAAAATACCTTATCTGCAATTTATGACCGGGGTCTGATTGGTGCTTTTCATGATTGGTAAGAAAGGTTTTATATTCTTTCTCACTTTATTGCTAATTTTGGTGAGCAGTACCAATAAATCTTTGTTAGTTGCTGTTAATACATATATGATTTATATTTAGGTGTGAATCATTTTCAACATATCCACGCACATATGATTTGCTGCATGCCAACCATCTTTTCTCTCAATATAAAAATAGTGTAGAAGGTTGCCAGCTGGAGGATATCATGCTTGAGATGGACCGAGTTTTAAGACCTCAGGTGATTGTTTTCATGAAGTTTTCCTTTTAATTACATCATGAAATTGAACTTGAACACATGGTTATTGAGATGGTGACATAATAATTTTTTTTGGTTGGCTGAGAAGCAATGGCTGGTCCTTTTCAGAGTGTTCTGATTTGAATCTTTCATTTATTATACATGAGTAACATCATTAGCATCCCACAGAGATAATCAGTCACTTTTTTGGTTGATGCATTTTTCCCTGTTACTGCCTAGTTTTTTGGGAAGATTATCAAAATCATCATGCAAATTTGATCTATTTTTAGTGATGCTACCATGCTCGCTGCAGAACACCACGTTAGCTTTAGACACTTTAAATGAGAATGTTATGGATGCAGGATATGGGAAAAGTATAGCATAATTTAGGGACTTGTTAAACTTTTCTTTTATGTGCTTATTTGTAATATACATTTGTTTGAGGGTATTTAGTTTTAAAAGGGTTAATGTGTAAATTGACCCCTGAACTATATCAATTAGGTACCTATAAATAATTAGGATTTGGTACCTTAACTTCCATCAAACACTTTGCACTTTTTACTTATGGTGTTAGGCAAAATGATGGCACGGTAGATGTTGGCCAATGAAATGCACCACGTGTCATATTAACGGTGTTGATATCTTGAGTAAATAACATGAGAGAATGAAAGTTGGGGTATTAAATTGTAAATTTTTTTGTATAAATATCAAGTCGGTATAATTCAAAAGTTAAATTACATTTAACCTTTTTTAAAATTAATTAATGTCTTTTAACTTTCCAAGTAATTTGGTTAGGGAGTAGCGTAGTGGTAACTTTTATTTTAGTTGCCAGTATCTCTATATTATTTAGATATCATGGATGGAATTTAGATTTGATATTCAAGTACTGATACATTTGCTTGGCGTTCTCTCTTTACCTTATTTCTTATATTTCTCATCAGAGTTACGTCTATTTTGGTCCTGTATGATATTCTGTCTATTCTCTATTTCTATCTGTTTCCCTCCCTTTGTTCTGTTCAATCTTAGCTACAAACCCAAGGTGTCATAGATCAGCTACTGTATGCAGCGTATGTGGACCGAGGGCTGACATCTAAAATCATTTTTGCTGGGTTGGTTACTTGGTTTATAAGCCAAGTTGCTTCTTATGGTTTTAACTTTTCATTGCACATTTGTTTTTATTGTCAGGGATTTATTATAATCAGAGATGAGGATTCTATTACATCAAGAATTCAAGATGTTGCTCCGAAATTTCTATGGGAGGTTGAATCACACATTCTGGAAAACAAGGAGAAGCAAAGAGAAACTGTGCTAATTTGTAGAAAGAAATTCTGGGCTATTGTTGATTAAGTTTCATTAAGTGCTTTTACTAGTGCAGTTGTTTTTCCAATCCATCCAAAGTCCTTGTTACTCTTGTACCATGAGATAACCAGTTTTTGTTCTCCTTTTTACCCGTCCTTTGTAAATGTTAACCTTATTAGTGGCAGAAAAAAAATTAAGGATATATATTTATAATAATTTATTCATAACTTGGTTATGTAGTAATTTGTAAATGTTCTACTGTTAAAACAAGACCAGCATATTTTTATGGTGCAAATATAGTTATATTGTTTGGGTAAAATTATTATTGTATTAACAAATCAACCCCTTCTCCCTTTAATTATTTTGATTTTGCAATGAAGTGATATCATACAAAAAATTTTTTTTTTTTAATGCTTAAGACCTAGATTTGCCAAGTAAATTAGTTTGGGAAACGACCGGTTGTTGCATTTGTATTAAGCATATGAAGATTAAATTAAACCTACATTTATAAACTTGGTCGGAAAGTTTGAAGAAAATAACTGTCCATTATTTTTTTTTAATCCATAAGCCAAAATCAACAGTGTGAATAGAGGTTGATTGGTTTTCTATATTGTCAAACTTTTTTTTTTTTTTTTTTAATAATGCTTAGTAAATGGTTAAACATGAAAACTCATTGGGCATTAAGCTAAAGAAAGGGAAGCCAATCTTTTTCCAATACTATAAATCCCATCTCTTTTATCCTTAAAACATTCCAACTTTTGAACTATTTAAGTTGGAATTTCAAGTTTTAATAATAAAATTGTCCACTTGGACTTTGGAGACTTACTATTGAGTTTTCACTTTTTTTTTTCCATTTACTATAAAAATTGTTATAGTTAAAACGAATGGTAAAATGTAAAATTATAGTATACAATTGACTAAAAACAAACAAATGCTAAAAATGTAATATCGATTCTAAATATATATATATATATATATATATATATACTTATTTCATTACTACTTTATTTTCTTCAAATGAAAGCCCAAGCATCTAATATCAATTATTTTCTTCATAAACTCTTTGAACTTTTGAGTTTTATTAGGGAGGGAGAGAGGGATGGCTCAAGTGTTTGGAATTTGAGGAACTTGGGGAGGTAACTATATCATCATAATTATATAAAAGAGGGAGCAGCAGCTGGCATGAAGCAAGGAGAGAAAGACAATGCGTACTGCCTTTGCCTACAAACAACCCCCTTGCTTATTGCTCGTTATTGTCAATTTGCATGGACGTGGAAGGAAGTCAACACTCCCTTATTTATTACACTTTACAATAACATTTGTTGGAGGAATTTGAAAGAACTTGAATTCTGTATACCAAAATTAAAATCCAAACTATATGCTTTTATCATGAATTAATTTATTTTATTAGTTTGGAAAAAAAAAAAAAAGCTGATGTAACATCTTAAATGGATAGAACAACAATACTTTTTGTTTCTGGAGTTGTATTTTTCTTTCTTTTCCACCCCTTAATTTGATGAGAAACATTATGGGAGGAAAGGCAATAGACCAAGGGTAATACACTAGTAAAATATGACACAGAGAAAGAAAGAGAGAGTATTGAACTGACGCTTAATTCAAATTTATTTAATCATTTTTAAGAATAGTATTTAATATGTCTAAAATTTGAATCTTAATATATATAATTATTTTTCATATTCCAAGTTACAACTTTTTTATAAAAAAAATTATTTCATTGTTTTTTTATTCATTACAATGAACAATTGTGTAAATAGGTTTATTTTACATTTAAAAAAAAGAGAATTTCAACTTAAAATCTCCCGTTATGTTATGTTATATTATATTATATTATATACATCACTTTTTTTAAGGGAGCTTTTACTCATACTCAAAATATTACTTTCTACATCAAGTTATTTTTTTCACTTCAAATTCAAAATTTAAAAAATATTTTTTATTCATTATTGTATATCTCCTATTTTGTTAGGGGTTTTATCAATATTATTGGGTTTTGAACTTTAATTTGATATTGGGTTTTCAATTATGCCATTGGATTTTAAGCTTAAATAAAAAAGGTAAAAAATAATTTTATTTATTTTTTATATTTAATGTGGATTTTTTTGTGATTTTTTCAGATTGTAATCTTTCTTTTAAGATTTGAAAATTAATTATTGAGCTTGAGTTTGGCAATTCTTGGACTTCAATTCTCCTAAAAAAAAGGAAAAAGAATTATGTAAAGTTAAAATTGAATCTTGATAAATTTGATTTCATAAAATCTTTCCTGTGAATTTTTAGATTGGAATTTGCTATAAAAAGCACCAACAACTCAATTGAGCGGGGCTAGACAGTAGCAAATCAAGATCAATTAGAGGCCAATTGAAAACCAGAGAAGCAATAAAAGGATAAGAATAAGTAAGATAGAAACACAAATCGTTAAGCAAGACAAGCAAAAGAAGAATTGCGAGTGGCAGTTGGATATTAAGATCTAGGCCTACATAAGTGTTTTTTGTATGTTCTTGATTTGTTATTCTTTGCAATCAAACAAATCTTTCCATTAGTTTAGATATAAGATAATAGCTTATCACCTTTGGAACTTGATTTTCACCTAACAATTCCAAATCTATAATCCTCGAAGGAATGATACTTTACTCTCTTATCTATTACTTGATAATGATTTGTACACTTGCAGGCATTACAAAAAATAGCAACTAAGTTTTTTATGCCATTATCAAAGATTATAATGGTGTTCAAATTAATATCAATAAAGATTTTCTAATCTCTTGTAATCTAAATATTTATTTTTCTTTGTTTTAAATTGTTTTGATCTTTTCTTTATTTGTATGCGTAAATCTAGAAGTGTTAACCTAGCTCTACTTGACAAGGAAATTGAAAGAACCTTTAGGTGTTTAAGAAGAGAGAAAAACACCATCAACACTAATCCAAATGGTGAATGCAAACAATGAATGTCATAGAATGTTGAGGGACTATGCTGTTCCTAATACTGATGGATTTCAACCATCCATATGGAGGTCGACAATTCAATTAAATTACTTTAAGATTAAGTTTTTGATTATTCAAATGGTCTAAACTTCTATACAGTTTGGAGGGTTACCAAACAATGATTTAAATCTTCATTTTAAAAATTTTTCTAAATTATGTGATACATTTAAATACAATGGTATTTTAGATGATGCTATTCGATTAAGAATTTTTTTTCTTTTTCTCTTAGGGATAAGGCAAATAGTTGGTTATCTTTTTTACCATCTAGATAAATAACAATATGAGATGATTTGGCACAAAAGTTCCTTACTAATTTTTTTTCACTTGTCAAGGTGGCCAAGTTGAGGAACAAAATAATAATATTATGCAGTTTGATGGTGAAAACCTATATGATTTGTGAGAGAGATTCAAAGAATTGTTAAGAAAGTGTCTACACCATGGTTTCCCACAGTTGCAAATTCAGATTTTTACAATGGGTTAACACCATCAATGAAAAACTATGCTTGATTCGGTTGTTGAAAGAGCCATAATGAGTAAGACCACCAATGAGGCGCATGAGTTAATGAAGAGACGGTAGCCAACAATTACCAATGGGGTATGAAACGTAAAGTACATAAAAAAACCGTTGATGTGTATGAACTTGATACTTTTACTTCTATTACTTCACAATTAGCTAGCCTATTAAAGAAAAAAGATGCCCTACAAATCCCATCCTAAACCACCTTTGTCCATGCTATACAAAACCTATTTGTTTCTTGTGAAATTTGTGATAGATCATATGTTATTGAAAAATGTTAATTTAGAATAGAAACAGTTTAGTATGAACAACAATTTAAGCCTGTAACCAATACAGCAACACTTACAACTCAAGCTAGAGAAACCACCTAAACTTTTCTAGAACCAACCCAACCACCAAGCCACCACCCAAAATACAAACTTTTGCCCATAACTATATAACTCACCCTAAGAAAAGAACCTAGTTTTGAAGAAATTTGGCCGAATTCATGCAATTCAATAATGCAACCATTCAAAGCCAAGTTGCATCAATTAAAAACCTTGAAACCTAAATAGGTTAACTAGCTCAAGCCATAGCCAACCGACCTTTAGAAACTTTACCTAGTAATACTAAGTTCAACCCTAAGAAACATGGCAAGAAAACATGCAATACGATATATTCCTATGGTGAATGTGATATATATTATTCTGATAATAATGATGATTTTATGGATGAGCTAGTGGTGGTAAACTTACCAAGCTTTGTAAAGTGGCTTGAGGTGGATTTCATTGGGAAGGAATTAGTGATGGATGATAATGAGTTATTAAGATTTGGTAAGAAAGTTTTAGATAGCTTTGATTACATGGCTCTAAGAGCCCTTGAAAGTTTAAAACCAAATGAAGGGATGGATGAAAATTTTAAGATTGAAGAGGATCCTAAGGAGTATATTTAAGAAAAAGACCTTGACAAATATATTAAACAAAATTCGATTAAGGAGATACAAATGTTAAGAGAAGTTAGAAGAGCATTACTTGAAGTATACAACTAAAAGAGGAAGAGAAAGTGCAAGAAGAAGATCAAGAAGTAAAAAAGATAAGGATGCTTCATGAATGTCTATCCAAAGACAAGTATTCGGAGTAGCACAACCAATGTCAAAGCCAATACCAAGAGAGCTATTCAAAGAGTTTAAAAATACAACATTTATTGGTGATTGTAACACTACACTTAAACAACTTCTTCCAACTAAGCAAATGATCCAAGAAGTTTCTTTATATCTTATTTTATTGGTCATTTATGATTTGATGAAACTTTTATGATTTTGGTTCTAGTATTAATTTAATGCTTATAAATATTTTTGTGCAGTTAGGATGTGGCACATTGAAACCTCTAACATTTAGCAATGAATTTGCTAACAAATTTGCTAAGAAACCATGAGTAATGTTAAAGAATATTCTGGTGAAAGTTAGTAAATATGCCTTTCTTTTGGATTTTATTGTTTTGAATATGAAAAATAACGAAGCCCTCTTACTTTTAGGTAGACCTTCCCTTATAATATCTAAAGCTTTAATTGATGTATAGAACTATAACTTGACTTTAAGATTTAATGACAAAATGATACAATTTATAATTAAAGGATAAGGTGTCCTTAGAGATTATGAAAATGAGAAAACTATGTTTGGGGTTAAAGGAGAAACCTAATGTTAGGGAGTCCAACTTAATCTTTCAACCCTTAAATCCAAAGGCACAAACCTATTCAACTAACCCACTATGTCATGGCCCATATAAACCTAAAACTGATTCCATTAACCTATG